TTAATTTCAATGTAAAAATATTAAACCAATTTAGTTATAAATTCAAAGTATATATAAATAATTTAATTAAGTGTACAGAAAATATTACTTTATTTTAAACAAACCTTGAAAATGAAATTAAGAACAGTCTGAATAAAATTGTTATTTTTTTACTAATAGGTGAATAATAAAATTTCATTTAGTTATTTTTTTAAACTACGAATAATTAAATTTATAAAACATAAATTTACAAATAAAACACTAACTTAAAATTTCATATATCACAATATACTATTTTAATTAAATTTGGAACGGACAAAATTATTTGCATATTTAACATAACAAATATTGTACGAATTAATTATTATGAATCGTTTAAAACCTAATTAATAATTTATAAGTTAAATGAGGTTTCATTACGGAAATAATAATGGCACAATTCAATAATCTTTGCTCAAACTTTAACACAAAAAAAGTTAAACAGGATTATAATGCACATTATGTGTGGCTATATTTATGTGTGTGTTTGAAAAAAACAACTCGCAAAGATACTTAATACTTCAACTTCCACGGCTTCAATCAGATATATTTATAATTTGATCATGGCTCATTTCTCAAATTGTATAGAATATTATTAATTTTATATGATAAATATTTACCTTCTGGGATCTTATTTCAGTATTAAGTAAACTTTTATAATAAAGGCTTATCAGAATTTTGTTTACAGCCTTTTAATCCGATCGTTTATTAATGTTTTCCCTTTCAATTACTTGCCGGGGCCTTTCATCGTCATATCAATTTACCAAAGTTTAAACGAGAAATCGTTTTGAAAAATACAAAGATAATGTAGCCTCCAAAAATTCTTAGAACAGATTAATTTATCCTTACAAATGTGTTTTGAATACAAAATTTATTTAGAATTACATAATGGACCATACGCAAGGAGGATATCTTATTTTCATCCTAATATTCACTAATTTCTTTTTTGGGATCGCAATAATAAATACAACAAATAATGACAACACACTTTCTTAATGGCAATTTCTATTATCCTCATATAATAATAATGTATCGTTAGTTCAACGAGTTGTTGTCATTAATAGAATTACTCGACGGATATTTTAGCAGAAAAATACAGAATAAACATTACTTGCTACAGAAAACACATATTAATGAACATACAAAATGTTGTACAAATATTTATTTATTTATGACTAATATTGTGAAAGAAAAACTGAAATAATAATTTATTTCTTCAGAATAAACTCTTTATATTACAGGAATGTATGTTTTATACGAAAAATATTTCTGTATATTTTTTTCTCTATTGTCTAGTTCCATATATCGTATACGTTGCTGAAATAAATCTTTCTTTTCAAACGATCGATTGCATAAAAGAAAATATATACATTTCATGACACAGATAGACCTATTATTTGCTTGCAACCTTAACTATAAATACCGTTGCTATTGAATATTGATTCAAACCAAAAATATAGGTCACTCATCTTAAATTCATACACCCAATGACGTTCATCTGAGCCAGTGTGAGAAACAACGAAATTCAAGCCAAAAATACATATTTTATAACCCCTCAAACACACGTTTTCCAGTTCCAGAAACATAATTTAAATCTATTTAGATTTAATTGAAAATTTAAGTCAGTATAACGTGAAAATAATTATAGGAATGACTGCATATTCTCAAGTTTAATGCCTAATCCAACCTAACAAAATGTTTATGAAACCTATTATTATGAATACTTTAGCGATCACAATCAACAAATAAAATCAATAAGTAACAAAAATATCCAAACACAAAAAAATTGTATTGGAATTGAGAATCAATTATTTTAAATCTCTTAAAAACTTATGTATGTTTGCTTAATACTTCAAAATAAATTTTATACAGCAAAATAAATACGAAAAATATACGAGTCCATATCTAGAGCAGCAATATCGTAATTTAAATAGCTAGAAATATATTTTCCCAGCACTCGCAGCTTTCATTCACTTCAAAAAGCTGTGCGGTATTCATTTTATACAGCAGCCTTTAATTTGTAAAAACATTTTAAGTTGAATAGATTCAGAGCAACCATTGAGGTTTACGTTTTCAATGAAAATCAGTGTTTTTATTCGAACATACAATTCTGATAAAAATATCTGCAAATAGGGATGTCACTGACTTTAACTGTCCAAAATATTCACAAACTAATTATTTCTCTAAGTTGTGGTTTCTGTTAACTTCGTCTTTGCGAATTCGGAATACATGATGAACTCCTAAGTTGTTATTATATTTTTACTATAGTTCTTTGTACTTCATACCTTTATTTGAAATGTTTGTTCATCGAAAAGCAATTGTTTAGTTGAAGCTTAGCTAATAGCAGATTCTTTTTGGTCTAATATGAAAAAATATTCGATTGCGTTTGTCAGAGCTAGTGATTACTACAAATAACAGAAACGCAGAGGCTACAAAAAAGATTTGGAACTAAAATGAAGGTTTCAAATAATATAGTTTTAAAGAAGTTTATATACACAGTATAGAAAACAGTAACTTTATAGACATAAATCGTAACAGACACAATAAACTTATAAATTACAGTTGTCGAGAAAGTTTCTTTGGTAATTTTGGACAGTTGAGATATTTGAGATGGGAATAAATCTCAAGACGTCGGTATTTCGAGACTAATTTAAGTTTCTATTTACAGTATGAAGGCGTTTCATGTTACAAAGGATTTGTTCAACGAGATCTTCGAAGCCAGAACATAACACGGCGTCAAGGACGACAATCTTTTGTTTTTGTTCGCTTTCAAGTAATACTTTAACAATATCATAGAGAAACAAACTAATTAAGGGCTATCACTGTATTGTTTGTCCACCAATTACTTGCTTAGATAACAGATATTACCTTGTTTTTGCGCATATATTTTACTCCTCTTCTATTGTATAATCTTTGTGTTTAAATATGTATAATTCTGTACCAAAGAATGTGACATCATTATGTACTTTGTATTTTAGAGACACTTCAAAACCGAATAATTAAGAAATTTAAAGTGAAAATGTCTAATTATTATGTTCCTTAATTATCTTGATTGTATTAGGGAATGTTATAAAGCAAATTCCTAATATACTAGGTATATGTCTTGTATAGACTATATGTATGTCCTGATATAATCACGTCCAGACTAATTAAATATAAGGCTAATTACTCTCATTTGAACATTTTATATAAATAAATATTATTTTATTAACATGACCTAAAATAATTACAATTGTTACAAATAAATAAAATCACTTATATTCGCACTCATTATTGTGAAGCGTAATTGTTTAAAAGATCCTTTTTCGACTTAACCTCTAAGCCGATTGTCTTGAAATTTAACATTGAGATTTCTTAACCCCATAATTACGGCGGTATTTCAAAAGCTTATCTTATATAATACAGCGTAGGGTTATTATGTCAGATTATAAATAAAAGATAAATGTTCTGTGTTCGTCGCTATTAGAATTTATTTAAAAGAAAATGTTTTCCAGGTTTATTATGTAATTTTGTCTTCAAATATTCTTGACTATTAATGAGATCTAAGATTTTCGCGATTACTCATTTAAATAAAACTATTATTTTCGGATTTTTGACGGGCAGACAAGATGTGAGTGATGTGCCCGTGATCACGGTTGCTGTAAAGTAGCCGAAACGTCGGGAATATATAGTTTAAAGTCAAAAATAAAAACGCGTAGTAAATCCGAAAATATTAGTTTCATTTAAATTCTTGACTATTTCATAAAGATAGTAAACATAAGTAGCAGTAGATTCAGTGATTATTCCAAACTGTGAGACAAAAATAATAAATGATCGTTTTGTGTCTTTTGTTTTCTATTTTCTTTCAAAACTGTTTGATAAGTTTATTAATTGTACAACAAGCACTATTTCTGAAGTTATTCAATATATACATATTATATATAAACTAAAGAGTCTTGTTTTAATATTAATATATATGTGGTTGTGGAAGTATTTTGATATTCATTACTTTCTGATAAGATATTGTGGAAGTTTTATCGTCGTCGTTTATTCGCGATGAGCCTCGGGGTCGGTTCACATCAGGGGTAATGGCAAGCCTGTGTCGATTATACTTAACAGGATAAGGTCATATAGATATCGTTGTCAAATATAACTATAATATTGTAACATGATAACTTTACAAGCTATTAGAGATAGTATAATATATTAATTTTAATTATTTTGTACTCTAAATATATATAGTCACAATTTTTACGTACATTTGTATATTGATTTTAATTTGGTGTTTGGATTTCCAAAATTAACAATGTTACTTTGTGAGTATATCTCGTGATTGTAATAAACAAGTGTTATTAACATTATATTATAAAAAAATACTAATAGTGGATTTATTATATCAAATGTTCTTTTTTAAAACAATAATTCTTGAATAACTTCGAAAACAATAATAACAAGTTATAGAAGGCAATTAGTTGTAACTGGAGTATAAAAGTGCTGTTCTAAGCGAGTATTGCCCCATTTTTATGAACAATGGTTGGATTGCTTCCCTAAATGATCTCATTAAATCTAACAATACTGTAGCACCGGTTGTAATGCTGCCTTGTTATAGTAATGATCTGATTATATTATAACGGCTGTCATATAAGAGATTTCATTAATGACACGATTTATAAAATAAATCATGGATTCATTTAATTTAATGTAACAGGTTTATTTATATTCGTAAAATTCATTTAACCATAAAAGTATAGTATAAAATCCAGCTTAATTATATCAGGATTTAGACAAAACTGACTGACGGTGATCTTGTAAGTTTGAAATCACCAACCCGTCTTGAGTAAGCGTGGTGATTAATGCTCAAACCTTCTCCATGTGAGAAGGGGCCTTTGCTCAGGAGTGGGCTCTGATAGGCTAATCATGATGATGAGTACTTTCGTATTTGTTTCAGATTTCATGAAAAAGTTTGATAAGTTGAAGTTGCTGTGTCGTATTAATGTACTTACCAGTGACGAGGTTGGCATGATGGAACTGGCAGACAGCGTCCGCCTCATACCAGGAGATACGGTCCCTGAAGTAACGGTAGAACACCGGGAAACCTTCCTCTGGCAGGACCCATGTGTTGCTGATGTTCACCTAAAACAAATCGTGAGATAAGCAACGGAACATATACTTTATTTTGTTGTTAATCTTCTAATTAAAACTTTATTCCTTTTTAAAGACATACAAAAGAAAATCAACAACTAAATTATCTACTGAGTAGTATTTTACTTAATGTTTGTGTTATTGAATTTCCAAAATATATTTTTCCCCAATAAAAGAATAAGGTATATATAAGTTTGTTTAAGTTTATGTTTATGTATTTAACGGTATGTATTTATGTACATTTAGCAAAACATGAACCTGTTTTCGGAACTTCGTTGTAGTTACTTATCTCAAGTTGAGAATACGTTAAGTAGTTCTATAACAGTAGTAATTACATTCTCCAACATTCTTGTACATTCTCCAATATGATGTTAGGAATTCTCGTTCAAAGTACGTAACGGAATGCGCTGGCGCCGCTTTAATAAACTTCAACCGTTCTTAACTCAATGGAAGTTAAACTTACGAGTAGAATCTCTAAGTGTTTTAACAAACGCTTGTCAAGATAAAGTAATTTCCCGGTTAACCGTCATCTGTTTCCAATAATTCTCCCAATACTAAAAGATATTAAGAGATTTTCACTCATAAAAAGGATTTTAGTCTTACATTTTATTGTGATCGTAGAAATGCAGATAATTTAAAAACGACTTCTTAGCTAATTTAAGTAATAGTAAGCAATATTTTATACTGAAAACTGAACCAAGCTGAGATATTAGAGAATCCATAACTAATTATAATATATATTTGAAAGAATGTTTTTGTATTAAATAGTAGTAATTACATGAATGCGTATTTTATACCTCAATGGATTATACATTAAATATTCTTAGGAACATAATTCTCTAGATACTGATCTGGTACAGAACTGAATGAATAATACAAGTTTATGTGGAATCGATTCTCAAGTACATCAGAACTTGAGGCACTTCGATGGAAATGCGATAACGTAATTAACTAAGCACTCCCCTGCCATTTGACTTTCAAAGTAAATAATCTTCACGATATTATTTCTCTCATATTTAACGAGACTCTTACAAGATAAAGCAATGATTAGATAAGTTTTTTATCTAACTGTGTTTGAGTTATAATTTTATACACAGTGATATTAGTTTCATACAATAATTATGACCCTAAAAGATATAAATATATCTGTAGGTATATATAAGGCAATTTATTTAAAATTACATTGACTTTTTATATGGCCTACTAAAGTTAATAAACTTTTTTTATTTTACCGAATTAATAAGATACAATAAGACATTTATAGAGTCTGATTTAATTTATATAAAGTAATATTTAATGATATTAACAAAATAAGATATAAAAAGGAGCCAAATTCTCTATAAATTTGTAATCTTTCTTAATTTAGATCTTACTTGATTTAATAAATTAAATTATAATCTTGAGACGTCTATCTACAAAATCATCACTTTCAATTTTGTAAATAGCATTTCAGTTTTGCAAAACATAAAATACACGTTTTCGTAAATTATCTTTTTTTTTGCTCATATATGTGAGATGATAAATTCAGATACAATCTATATAAATTGTCATATTTGTCTTTACATATATATAAACATATTTAAATTATTATATATATATATATATATATATATATATATATATATATATATATATATATATATATATCGGATTTATTACACATTTCTTGTTTTAAAAGACAGGGGCGCCAGCCTCGCTGACGTAACAAATGTCACTTCTTCTACAGCATTCGATGATATTTTGAAATGAAACTGCAATTGTTCTTAATGCTCCTGTATTTCTCAAAGGTTCTTCATATTAACCTACTTCAATGATACACACTCACTGAACTCTGAATTATCAATCCTGAATTCTCAATTCTGGAGTCCGCCGTCGTGAGTCATGACGTCATATTTATAACAAGATTCAAACATAGTTCTATTCTCCTTTGATTTCGTTTTACTTTTAACAATAATCATAAATACTAATGAGGTTTAATAAGAATTGATGACAGCCTCAAATTATTTTCAAGTCACATCCGTTATTAAAGCTGGTAGCGCCGATATATATACACAGCATCATATATAAAGTACTATAATGAGATCTAAGATTTTCACGAGTACTAATTTAAATGAAACTAATATATTCGGATTTACTGCGCGATTTTTTGTTTTTGATTATAAACTAAATACTCCCGATGTTTCGGCTACTTTACAGCAACCGTGATCACGGACAGATGTGAAGGCGTAGTAAATTCGAAAATATTAGTTTCATTTATAATGTACTATTTACTTTGCTTGACCTTTCCACCATATTGCACTGGTCATTACAAGCTTAGCATTAAACTAATCAGTAATTGAAATCTATATGTCATTCGTAAAATAATTAAAACAAAAAGAGCTGAATATATTTGTAGCAATTAAAAGAATACAATCTCTCATATTCCATCTAAAATCTTCAGAGACTTGCTAGTTGTGTTGTCAGAATTAGCCAGCGGCCATCTCAGACTGGACATCTTCTAAAGCCTTTTTAAATATTACCAGCCAGGTTAATGACCTCCTATTTATAAACGCGAAGACATGTAGGCTTCGTTTTTTTATAATAATATTTTTTTTTATACCAATAATTACAAGGATATCTTTTACCGAGGTAACAATGAGTAAAGTATTAATAAAAAATGTGTGTCTAAAATTAAATAACCCTTTTCAGTTGAATATGTACTAAAAATAAAAATTAATAATTTTTTTACGGTGAAATGATCAAACTACGAGAGTTAGTAAAAAAGATAATATATATTTTTTATAATGGATTTTATGATATTAAATAAAAATATATATTATAAGAAAGAAAAAGGAAAGTAAAGAATGACTTAAAAATTGTATGTTTTCTTTTATGGAAGGTCAACAGATCAAAAAATGAATATATATTATTAGATAAACATATGTACAAGAAGTATTTGAAATATTATCTATTTTTATAGTTTTTTTTTTAAAGAATATAAATATTCACATTTAAATGAAACTCGCGAAAAAAAAATGTGTACTCGCGAAAATCTTAGATCTCATTATAAATATTCACATTCATTTGTCATCGTTTGATTTTGAAAGGGCACAATTTCACTTTTTTTAATAAGTTAATTTAAAAAAAACGACCAATTGTTATAATTTATTTGGCGTTAAATATGAGAGAAAGCACAAAAAATATAAAATGTAAAGCCTGTTTAACAATTTTGAAATGTAATTTAAGACAATCACATTTAATATAAACCATTAAGGTTAATACCAAAAAGTATTTATTATTTAAAAGACATAAGGAACAATTTACGAAGTATATAATTTCTTATTCCTAAAAATTCTTTATATAGTTAAGCCTTTATTTTTTTTTATTCATTTAAGCCTTTATTTTTTTAATCTAAAAATATATTAAAATATTTTAAAATATGCATTCGACGAGAAACAAAAACCAAGTAGAAATAAAGTCATAATAAGATACCAAAACGAAAGGAGAGTATGAAATATATTCAAATGCATTTCTTACAACTTATTACATTAATAAATTCAATATTAAACACGACGTAAAATTCATTTAATATTACACGAAATCAAAAAAATACAAAGTCTTCATTTAAACCATATTTTCGTATGTAATAATATTTTGTTAAACAAAAAAAAAGTCATGCTTACCGCGCGCCCTTGGACAGCAACGAAGAAGGTTAGAAGTAGGAAACACCACATTACGTAGCCGGAGCTCGTAGCACTGACGTAGACCCAGCCGTAGAGGTCGGCTACGATCGCGTGACTGACGCACCGTAGCTCCGTAGCGTGCTACGATGTACTCGAACATCGCATTATATAAACAAATACTGTACAATAACACCGCAGGATAAGGATAACAATTTTATTACACTTTTGTTTTTTGCTCAGGTCAAGGTCACTTTGACAGAGTTTAAAACCTTAATTATTTTATTGTACTTTTATATTAAATCTATTTTAAATTAACGCCATTTAAGTAAATAATTTTGATAAAAACATATTACCTTGTAAAATTATTGATATATATAGTATAATATAAATTATCTTCATGATTTGGGATTGCACCAAAATGCATAGACGCATCAGAAACTCGTCTTGGTATAAGAAAATTTATACTTCTATATATGTGCCTATGTGTGCGTGCATGTGTGTGTGTGTGTATATCGATGTGGAATATTTTTTTTAATAGTTCTTTCTTATCCAATTTATATAGTTATGTAAGATAATTGCATGAAAAACCGAGTTATAATATATAAGAAGATTAGATTAAGACATTAATATTTCACTCTAGTATAATAATACAGTTTCTGAGAGGAGAAAGTAAACATTTACTTACAAAATACAGAAATGCTTTTATATATACCCTGCTCTTAGCGACGTATCGATTTTTAATAAAAGACCTTGGTGCAGGTGATATTTATATTTCACTGAGTACTCTTTATATAAAACTGCGATAGATGCAATTAAATTTGTTATAATATATAAAATAGTAATAAAAATACATTGAAATTTATATGAAACATTTATATCAAGACTACATCATCACTATAGTGATTTCAGTGACATCTTTGCATACTTCAGTATTTAAAACAATCTGAAAGTTTTGATTGTGATCTCTCAAGAAAATCCCATAAATGGGACCTCTTTAAAGTAAGGCTTAGATATGTAATTCAGTGTTACCAGTAAGGTCTCGATTGATAAAAAGACGAAGACACTATAACGTGCATTATCGGGAGTCTTAGATTCATATCCTGCGCCTATAATTATGCTAGTGTGATTATTTTTTATGCTTTATTTTATTTATCTTAATATAGAATTTCATTCCATAGATACAAATCACATATATACGTCAATAATACTTGTATACTTGTAATTGAAGAATAGAGATCATATAATTAACCATATTGAATTTTTCTTGAAGTGACATCACAAATCCACCAAGAAGCAATAAAGTTTAACCTCACATAAATGGCCATCAATAGTTATTAATTTATCATCAATTAATAATTATCAAACCAGAATCACAAAAATCTTTTTCAGTTTTCCTGATTACAGTGCGACAGAGATATGAGGCTTTATGTATTGTTTAACTGACGTTCTTAATAAAAGAAAGCATGGTTAACATATAGAAGCTGACATTTCTACTAATATACCATAAAAAAAATTCAATTTCTTATAGAAGTAGGTAGGACCTTGAGGATTGACGAACATTTTTTTATCCCCAACCGAGAGAGTGGAAGACTAAACTAAACATATACTTTATATTTACAAATAGCTTAACACTCATTGCACATTATACAAAATTTTGAAGGCGATCAATTTCCCCGCATTTTGTAGATAATTAATTTTTATAATTCCAAGCTTATTTACGACTACCATACTCATTTTACAAAAACAATAGCCTTATAACCGTCTCATGCTCAAACGAATTGGCGAACGCGTCATTCATTGGAGTTCATTGGGCGCGACGCTATTGTTATAATTTATAAAAGAGCGTACAAACATACATCATGTTTTAAACGAGTCATTAACTATACTACTGTGAAATATGAAGAGATTGTTAAAATTTTCATTGAAGACATTTTCACTCAAAAAATCCTTATGAATTATTTTAACCTAAATGATTTAATCGTATATTTTTTTAAAGATTGTGAGTAAAGCTTTGTAGAAATCTCGATCTACAACAATCATATAATATAAAATAACTAAGAACGTAAATTAGCCACATGCTTATAACAAAAGTAATATAAAAGGAAATATAAACCATTTTTTTTAATATGCCAATGCTCTACAGACAGCTCAACAGAATATTTAGTATGCATCAAATACTAATATTACATGTAGGAATATTGATAATATACTATGCAAAATTGTATGTATTGTGCTAGTAGCAAGACTGAGTGACAGAACTAAACATAATAAAGTAATCTACCTATATTATACTTGACATCATATGTATTATTATTTTACAATACCGAACAAGTATAACTAATACATAATATAAAAATATACAAAGAAACAAAATACTTTTATATAAATTAACAAAATTGTATAAACAAGTATCAGTAGTTATCATGGCTTAGGGTTCGAAAAACTTTGTTCTATACCAAAATTTTGAACTAATTAGCCCAAGTTATTGTAATCCTTTCAAAATAGAAATTGAATCAAAACAATGATTGTAATATTGGTTGAACTGAAATCAGTCAACAGAACTTCATGTTAATTTGTTTATTTATATAAATTGAATTTTATATTAAAAATAACAAGGTTTTTTCAATCTAATTATTCACTATAAACTCTGAATGAATTGACTTCACTTAAAAAAGCTAATAAGCAAGCCTTGAAATTACCTAACTCTTTGATTACATTGTCTTAAACAAATTAACTGTTTAATCTTGATAAATGTATATACGGCAAATATTCTTGCGTAAACGAGTTATATAACTAATAATGGACAATTAAATAATAAGAATATAAATATTGTGAAATAATGTTTGGTATCAAAGACGCCATATAAAATCAAAAATTTTCTTAATTAGTTTCTAAGATAGTTAATCGCCAAATACAAACATTTCAAATTAATAAATTTGGATAAAACCAAATCATTTCTAATATGGAATTGCTATTTCAATGTATTCAAACATGTTTCATTCTATCAAATGTTCTCTATTTCTCTCTGTATACAACCTCATTCTGTTAAACACTACCTCGTTGAATAACTAACGTGAAATGCGATAATTTTGACAGTTTTAGAATATCTACCATACTCAATCTATTGTTTAAGTTTGTTTATTATACTCTAGAGTCTCACAGTATAAATTTACAATAATATATTTCTAGATTCAAAGTTAAATAAAGAAAAATATTTGTCTTCACTATATCTCCGACACATCATTTCTAAAACATAATTTTAGGGCCAGATGAAATTGTCATTTGAATGAAGTATAACCATAGCTAAACACTTTAAAGAATAAAATTAGAAGCCATAAATTCTAAATATAGACAAATATTACACATACTTGTACTATTATAATATAAAATATAAATAACACTAATAAGTTTACTTATAATGGTGAGGAACATTATTATAAAATTTTTATGTTGGACAACAATTCGATTTAGACCGCCGAATTAAAAAAAAAAGTGTTTTACGACAGAACTACTTGAACTGAAAAAGACTGTTTATAAAATTCTGTTTGTTCTTTACAAACTTTCTTTAATATGAAACACTTAAGATCGAATCAAACACATTATAGGAGAGAAAGATTTTGTAAATCCCGACAGTTAGTTGTCAAAAGCCACTTGATCTGTTTAAGCATTACAGAGTTGAATAAAACCAAAACACAAATCGTATGATAATATTCTAGAGACGCTAGATATTGAGATTATTCTCAGTTGTAGTATTGGACCATCGGCGTAAAGAAGAGGCTAGATTTTGCAAAGAATATGTGAAAATATTTTTGACTCTCATCAACTTACTAATGGATGAAAGCTTATTAAGGAATTCGTCTGAGTAAATAATTTGATTTTTCTAAAACTGAAGCTAAAATCGAAGACTTGTTAAACAAAAGTAACAGTAAAAAATAACTGAACCTGTTATAAAAGTAACGAAATGCCTACCTATAACTATGAAGAAATAGAGTATTGTTATCCAGCGAAGAATTTAAAATTCGTTATACTATATTAACAAACTAGACTAGGCGTGGTTCACTTTGGCTCATCGTGCGGGTGCTGAGTCGGTCGCGTTGCAAAGAGATGAGCTTTAACTGTCCCGAGACTTGTGATCCAGGTGTAGGTTTAAGGAGTCCCTATCGAGCGAGCGAAAACGCTTACAACCACCGCCTAAATTCCTCTGTCTACCTAATCAAATTTGAAAGAAACTTACTAAGGCTGAATTTGAAGTATGTTCCAAGATCGATTTATGTTAGTTCTGGACAGGTCCAATCTTTTTGTTTTAGCCGTTATACCTCTCGCTCCTTCTTCTACCGATTACAAATCTAGGGCGAACCTATTCCTAGTGAGTTCGTTAGTGAGCTGGTAATACTTATTGACCTTGATGGCGTGTTCTTTAGAGATGTTGGTTTCCCAAGCTCTATTAGCACAACGCGCTTTAAAATACATAAATATGTCTGTATCGTTTCTATTACGTATGCATTATTTGAGTCCAATCCAAAGCCGTTTCAAGATAGAGCAAGGCTTGACACTTAATTTTGTAGCCCTAGTGAATTCTTTCAAAAAACCTATTGATCGCTCGTTTGTGGTTATTTCCCTTTCGCTCTATCTATCGTGACAACGCGAGTATTGACCGCTATCCAGAGTACTTTAAATCCCACCAGCACATGCCACCTAGCAGTTCCAACTACCTTCCCGCAGATAAAGCAAGTTTTTTCGTACATTTATCCCATCTTACTATATTAGTCTGATCTGGGAGACTAAATTATTTATAAAAAAAATCATATCAAACTCAATTTCATTTAAATACAATACAAATGGGGAAAAAGTTAACTACGAAAAGTATGAGTTGAAAAATCCATGACAAAAACAGTCCGCCTCTGAAGATAATATACTGTGTAATACATTCAGCATATAGAATTAAATGCACAATTGTTCTTAACAAATGATGCGTCCGGAATTTATGAACAATGAACGTGCTTAAATAATGTTTTTGTTTTACGACCGACGAGACTTGCAGTTGTTCATAAATAAAATATTTCAAAGGTAAAATGACATGACAGTTAAGAAGAGTTAAAAAAAGTCAATAGAACAAAAAAAATGTTTTTTAACTTAATTAA